GTATATTTATATAAATTACATGTTATACGATATAACTGGTTCTATTGTTGTTGTCGTTAAGTTAATTAAACACGAGTATTATTGGCGTTTCTGGTGTTAACACAAGTGTTGACGTTGTTGTCATCGTTGCTGTTGTTGTTGTTGTTGCTGTTGTTGCTAATGTTAACACAAACTTAAGAACCAATAATATTTAACATATAATTGTCCAATAAGATAATAATTATATAAAAATAACTATCCAATAGAAATACTAATATATATAATCCAATAATAATTAATATAAATCTTATCCAATAATAATTAATATAAATCTTATCCAATAAGATTATTCGTTAAATGTCATATCATGACAATATATACCAATTCTAATGTATGGCATCGAGATGTATTTAAGTATACCGATTCAGAAGCTAAATGCCCAGTATGCAAAAAGGTACATACACATCGAGACATATGGGGTAATTGGAGCTGTCTAGGTAAAGATGATCACTATTTTCTTAATTGTCCATTTCGTATTGATCAAAAGAAAGTTATTATTGCTATACAGAATTTGCCGGAAAGTGTATCGAACAAACCTCGAGAAACAGAACCTTGTTCACCAACTCATCCAAACAAAAATCACCTTTATCAGTATGCCATCGAACATGGAATAGATCCCGAAAGATTTTCAGTTATTACAGAGGCTGAGAAAAAAAGGTGGAGCATGGGATGCTTCCGTGGTGATTTGGAGAGAGATATACGATTCTATTGTGGAGGAATAAAAAGGAATGAAGATACCAGAAAATATCATAAATTTTTAACAGATCAGAATAGGCTGGTTGGTGAAGAGTTATCACGTTGTGGTATACTAAAAAGCGGTTTAAGTAATGCATGACTCGATGATCTTACGGAAAAATAGAAAAAAATCCACACTTATTTTGTACAAATTTTTAACCAGAAGAGCCAAAATATACATGTTGTTTGTGCAATCTAATTATACTAGAAATGCGTTGATTTGTTATCCTAATATTAAATATTTTTTTTTTGTTGATGATGAATTTCACTTAGACCAGATGATCTTAAATGGTGGGTCATTAAATATTACGTCCGAGGTACACATTGTGTCTAATTTTCCTTTTACATTCTTATAATATAGATGTAATGAAGATGCGATGGAGGTGCGATGAAGTCACGATAAACTTTTTTCCTATATCGATATAATTGTATGAAAATTCTTGTATATCGGAAAGCATAAAATGGTGTTCACGTGATTGTGGAATTCTGAGATTGGCACATTCTCGAAGTTTAAAAGTATGAGACTGATAAGTCAGATCTGTGCGATATTCGATTTCCCAAAATTTTTTTCTATCCGTGGCGTGCTACTCTTTTTAACCATGTCTAACGTCTATGAAACAATCAAAATACTTGATTCAAAAGAGGAAAGAACTACACTACGAACTCTCTTCACTAATAATCCAAAAAAAAGAGCTGAAGCAAAACGCGTCCTTCCTACATGTGAAGATAATGAAGAGATAGTTACTTATTTCAAAAGACTCTTAAAGCCTTGTATGTTCTCTTTTAATCGTGTCATATTTACCAATAATACCGAATACTTACTTGTGCTTTTCTTTCCTGCTTCTTATCATTAAACCCGTCCAAAAAACACATTCGCGTTATCGTAGATCAACCCGTTGCTGGTGAGTCGTAATAAATTTAGTCGATGGAATGAACGCGTCTTGGCTTGATTTTCGATAGCCATTGTTTCGTTCTCGTTACGTTAATAATTTTCTGATATATAGAATTCCCTAGTAAACGAAGAAAATACGATAATGATAATGAAAAACTGCTAAGGTTTTGGAATGCTTTGAAGGATGGGAAAGTTGAGGAGCATGATGGTGGCCAGTTCCTTGAATTATCTGGGAACGTTTACTATCTTCTAGGCAAAGATGAGCAAGGTTCCAATATATCCACTCTGTTCATCCATGAATGTTATCACCACCTATGTAATATTATTTTTGAGAATGAAAATATTCATCGTTGGCGTATTACTGGCAATCCGGGAATTGGGAAAATCTTCTTTGGTTATTATCTACTTTATCTCCTTTCACAACAACGTAAAACGGTTATATATCAAATTTGACAATTGTCCGATTCTCTTCAGTGAGAAATGTGCTTTCAGTCACGACGTAGACAATATCCACGCATTCAAAGATTACTTGAGAAATGAAGAAGTTTGGTATATCGTGGATGGTAGGAAGCTGATGGAATATGCTGCCAAGACAATTCTCGTCTGTTCACCCCAGAAATGCCACTACAGTAGCTTTGACAAGCTTGGAACAACTATTCGGTACATGCTGATATGGTCTTGGAAAGAGATCGATACATGCAGGATTAAGCTTTTCCGTAATCTTACTCAAGAATATGTTCAGAAATTATACAATAAATGTGATGAAATTCCTCGGTTTACCTTGTTTTATGCTCTCAATGATTCTCAGCAAGATCTTCTTCAAAGAGCAATTAATTCAGTTAATGATAATTTGTTAAATTTTGTTGGTGAGACCACAGATGATAATAGCACCAGTCATAAAATCATCCATATCTGCACGAACATACCAAAAGGAGAGGATGAAGGAAAAGATGAAGGAGAGGAAGGAGGTGAAGGTATGGAAGATGTGGAAATAACTGAAGTAGAAGATAATTCTAGAGAGCCATCTACGTCAAAATCACCCGCAGTAACTAGACCAGATAAAAGGAAAGATGTTATAGGAAAGGGAAAACCCTTCTATTCAATGTCAACTCTAGAATTTGCGTCCGATTATGTTTCTGAAGAGATAATGGATAAACTTATAAAGAATTATAGAGATCAGTTGGAAAATTTCGTGAAAGCTAGTTCATTGATAAGTGATTATAGTACACTCCAGGGCACTATATTTGAGCGGATCGCTCACAGAAAGTTACTAAAAGGAGGATCGTTTAGGACTCGCCCTTTATTCGCATCAACTATCTCTTGCTTCGGGGTGAATAATTCAAAACTATCAATACCCATTCAGAACAAACTGCTGTTCAGTGACATTAGTGAGATTGTTCCTAACATGTATTGTATTCTAACTCAAAAGAATAACGCGTTTTTCAATGTGTTCATTTTTCCCGACACATTCTTCCAGATGACCGTTTCTGAGAGTCATCCTATCATAATTAGTGGGTTGGAGAAATATATTAATAAGAATAATAATTCAGATATCAAATTTTATTTTGTCTTACTGAAGGAAATATAACTCTTACCAAGAGCAGGTTCTTTACACTACAAAGAGAACTGTTCTCAAGAATAGGTCACCTTGAATTAATCATCTTAAGCAACATGCTCTGGAAATTGACCTTAAATTGTAGTTCTTGTTAAAAAAGATTAGTTTATGTTCTCACATGGATCTTGAATTGGGTTGATAGTATTTATCTTTTTATCACATTTCGAGCTTGTAATTTTCAACTATATGTATTCGTGTATGTGGTGTGGGGTGTGCATCGGAAAATAATATTTAGAGTAGCAATTAAGGTTCAACAAAAGAAAAGTTTGTGTTGGTATTGTTATTATGAATCGAGTCAGTGATAAATAATATTGATGTTCAAACGGCAAGAATGATAGTATATAACGAAATCAATCACTTCTTCCTGATATTACCGATATAAACTTGCGTAGAATAACTTCTGGATTCAAAAAAAGTATATTATTTTATGAAGGAATAGGAACAAAAATTAATAAAATTAGATCATTTTTTGCCTTAAGCCGAGATGAAGACAATGAAGTGAAATACTGCGCCATGTTACTGCGCCAGTGACATCGATGTCATGTTCAAATTCATACATTAATAAAGTTATTGAATGACCCAATTTTTTGTAAGCTTTACCGCTATTTAAATCGTACGTCTACATGAAATGTGCAGTGTCAAAATGAATGAACTAACACCTACCAATTCATTAATTGTTGTCAGTTATCCGTTATCTAGCAGTTAACCTATCTAATCGCACGTAAAATAAATAAAAGTTTTGATTGGTCTCATCGTATACATCACTACAAATATGGTGAATACACACAACTCATCTAATAACCCAGACCCTATGAGAGCTCTTCGAGATCCGCACTAAAAATGAATCATATATTCTTATACTATAAAGAAACAAATCTAATAGGTCAAAAACACTAAAACCGCTAAATATAATATTCTCTATAAGTGATAAATATGTCTGGTTTTGATGTTATAACT